ATTTATAAGGCAACCATCAAATATCGTTGCTGATAACTCTCGTCACTTCTCACTTCCGGACGTTCCCCTCACGTTCCAGCAGAATTCACTTCTCGCGATTACATTTCGAGCGAGCGAATTCTCCTCGATCTCCTCGTTCTCCCTTCGTTCTCTCTTCGTTTGCCCCGCCTGCCCACACATCCCGCCGTCGATTAAACACTAAATAAATATTATACAGATTTGTCTATATCGACCATGCCTAGTCCTCCGTAGTCCCGCAAGTGTCTCTCGACTTAACAATAGTAAAAATGTACTTCGACTTTTACAACGTGGTTTTATGGCACTCGTTTAATGGCTGGGCTCTACAAGCCTCTCCACGTTCCCGATGCGAACGATATCTTCGGCTTCGCGTATGTTCTCCTCTCTTTCTTCCTTTTCTATTCTTCCTTTCCTCTTTTCGCACTCTGCGCTCTCCGGGGTTGGTATCCGCTTCGATATCGCGTTACGTCGCCAGCGCGACACGCGATACCGAGACTGGCGAGCTTTCTCCGCGATTTTTGACAAATCGTCGCGCAGAGACGACGCACCGTCGACGTGGACAGGATCGATGACTATCGACTCGCTATGGAATGCTACTATTGTAATATTTAAGAAAAAAAAAAAAAAAAAAAAAGAAACTATTAAGAACGCGTCTATGTAGTCTCTGGATCCTCCGACTCGCGCTGATCCGAAGGATTCGTTCGATCGACCGAACGACTTTGATTAGGATTACGATCGGTCCTTCGTGTAGGTTCCTTCGTAATCGTAAATCGGTGTCGCTCGGCTATCTCTCTGGTTATCGGTACTGTGAAGTGGAAAATCGTAAGGACCAAGTAATCTCCAAACGTGACAATTTGCCGAGCTTCTTGGCGAGCTTCGTTGCTCGTGTTTATCGCTGCTTTCAAAGTTTCACCAATCTCCGTTTACTTTCCTTCCTCTTTTCTTCCCTTCCACGACTACGGGTCACAGTGGATGAGACACGTCCTATTAAAATAAATAATTCCTTTCCTTATATTACTCAAAATGTCCATTTTTGTACACAGCGTCTTATAATTTTTTACTTCACAGTTATTGCCGCATTAATACACGCAATCGGCGCTCCTCGTGCTGGAGGAGGACATATTTTCGACGATGAAGCGCGACTTCTCCTTTACATTTCACAGTAGTCGGGACAATTAACGGGCCAGTTTCGATATGTGAAACATGTCGCGAGATTTTTGCTCTTCTATCTAAGGTATCACTCGCATCTGTTGCCGGATATGAATATCTCTCTGATAAGATCGTTACGCGTGTGTTTGGCCAGACAAACGGTGTCGCTTTACGGCTTCGAAATCACGACTGACCTATATCTACGACGTAAATTAGAGCATTCGACCGACGACTATTATCGCTTGCCACGATGCGAGACAGTGGCAGAAAGTCGCCGTCGACTATCTTAATTAAGAGAGCGGAGACGAGTTCGGGTTATGATAATGTTATAAATTGTAAATCTTTCTCTCGCGATGCTGAAGTCCATCCGGTTTATGCAACCGCCTGATGCAACATTGTGAGACTTTTTTCCAATTTTCCGTCGGAATCATTACCAAGTCGCGTGCTAGCGGCGGATACACATGCATGCGACGAGTTATTCTCGTCGGCAACGAGTCGTCGACGTCTGCATTTCTCTCTCATTAATCATTAATCGCGCAAACAAAGTCTACCGCGATTCTGAGGAACTTCATGCGGACTATAAGTTATATATGTGCGACACTCTCCTTCTTCTAATTTTGCACGCGCGAAGCGCGTCGGTAAAGTTCTCGACGATGGTGAGTTGCGCGAATTAAACGATTCCTCTCGAGCGAGTCGTAGGTGTTCCGTAAAAAATTCTAGAAACGTTAAAACGGTCATCTAAATCTCGGAGAGACTGTGCTCGGTGGCGTTTCACCTAGTTCGACATACAGTAATCTTTAAGGCACTAATGTCTTCCAATCGCTACAATCCGCGAATCCGTTTCCCGATCGGCCGGCTAAAGCGAACCAGAACAAAATCTCGTCCAAGAACCTCACCGTTCGATAATGTGGAATCGATAATGCTAAACATAGACAGAAGTTCATTATCCTCGGTTTTCAAACAACTCAGTCTCCTGTTGTTTCGTTCCTTTACACACGATCGACCGCAATCGAGACATTGCGCATTCGAAATTCGATCGTGGCTGCCAGTTGACGAGCACGATATGCGGTTGTAGTCGTTCAGTGCGATCTTGTATTTGAGATGAAATTCACTTTAAAGCATTGTTGTCGGCTGCGCGCGGCGTGATCGTTAAGTGACGAAAACATTTGTGTTTTGCTGATTGAACAGTCGTTGACAGGAAACATTACGATTAAAAGGTGTCAGATATTTCAGAATCTCCATTTCATATCATGCACTTTTGCATCTTGGGAGCAGTCGCGTGCTCAAGATGTAACCGAAGGCGATCTTCAAATACCAGATCGGACTGTGTGTGTGTGTGTGTGACTATTGTCCGTAAGTCTAACGATGTTTGCACATGACTGATTTGATGGCGTCGAGCCGGTTGGGTTCATTCTTTCCGTCACTACGTTGCGATTACAAGTAACCTCCTGCGCGCCGAGTCTGTTTTGTACGTTATGTCGCTAAGGCACGGCCCTACGAAAGTTCGGAGAAAATCCTAAAGGCACCACAGCGCGTCCTCCCGTCGAGCAGTCGCGTTGTAACGTCTCCCGTGTGCGGCACGTCTAATTATCTACCCCGAGGGAAAAATACGCGTATCCTGCGTTCTGCAATGATTCGTGGCGAGAATCACGTGCGTGAACTTCCCCGGATATTCCTTATCGTTTCATTTGTTTGCCTGCAGCGCAAACGAATCCTCATATATCTCGCGAAAACTCTGAAGATAAAGGCAAGGCAATGTCATCGCGCGATCTTCTACGCGGATTTCTTCCGTCCCGTCGTCTGTAAGATGAAACAAATCTGTAAAAGGGAGGCGAAACTACTCTCTCGGCCCGGCGAGACTTCGCGCGATGATGAACGCTGCGTGTCGAATGAAAGCGGACAGGGGATATCGTAACCACCGTTGAGCACGCTCTAGGAATAGAGAAGCGCGGGAGATCTACTTCTCCCTCGAACGACTCGCACCACAATCACAATACATATATATATATATATATATATATATATATATATACTATACACACACATATTGAACGGTTTTGTATTTTTTTATATCGACCAGCGACGGCCGCTCTTCTGTTCGGTGCACATTTCGAATATACCCTATGGTCGCACATATCCGGCTTAGTATCTTCCAATCTCTTTTCTCTCCAATCTCGTGTTTATCGCTCGATGTTCCGTCCCTCCGCGTGTTGTCTTCCGCTCTTGTATCTTGGACTCCGTAAACTAGCAATTAATTCTCGCTTTATCAATACTGCTTGTGTAACCTCCAAAATCTCATCGTGTACCCTCCTCCAATTTGCGACTCATCTTAAAAAAAACCAATTTCTTTCCTTCTGCTCGGAGTGTTCGACATCGCGACGGACCATTGTCCGTCATTGCGCGATCAAGTTCTTCTCAGTTACATCGACTCCAATAGACAGTTTGGGACTGCTGGAACGAACGCGTGGACCGAGCGCGGAAGATCGTGAGGTTCCACGATGGAACTTCCTAAACGAATGATCATGGACGCGTTAAGGCAGATCAGTTATCACGAGGACGCGAATAGCGTTGGGACAGAAAAGAGATCTTGTTTACACCATGCGCGCGGTAACAATTGCATTTGCGTCATTAGAGATAACCGCAGCTGCAGCTGGACGAGCTTTGCGTCGCGTTAGAAAGTCTCATCGTGAAATCTCTCACGGAGTGCCGGCTTCCAACGGAAAAAAAAGTCTGCGCGAAACGACTATTTCGAAGAAAGGAAAAAAAAGTCCACCCGGAAGATAAGAGGACCAAAGCTGCGAAAAATAGCCAGCGCCAGCGTCTGAAAATATTTCCTAGTTATTGCGGGAGTCTCCTCGTTATCGATTGCGCAACGTCGCCGACATGATGATGCAACGAGATGTTTTTACAGACCGCGGTCTAAACGATATGTTCCCCTTATTCCGCCGCTGCCAGCGGCAAAGCGAAAGACGCGATTGATGTTTACGTCGATTTACGTCCGCTGTGTTTCACGACCTGTGGAAAACGGATCCCCCGTCGGATCGTGTCAATCTGCCGTTATTTTTCGTGTCGATTACCCTTTTCGTGCTCGCCGCTCTTTTTTTTTCTCTCATCAATAACGCATGAGACTATTCTACGATTTAGATGGTCGTAAGAGGTCTACTCTCACTGAGCAGAGGGTACACAGGATGATGCTAACGAAGGAAAATGTACACGGGGTTCTTTTCTTTCTCTTTTCTCTCCTATTAAATATTATATAGTTTGTCTTTTTCTCGTGCTAAAACTATGCGATAGGCTTATTTTCGTATTATTGTCTTAGGTGCTACGTCACGTTCTGTTCACGTCCTTCGTTGGTTCCCGGTTCCCAAGGCATCGGTCAAATTCTTCTCTGAGATTCGACTGTGTGTGTGTGTGTGTGTGTGTGTGTTTTATATGTGTGTATGTATGTGTGTGAATATATGTGAAGCTTGTACAGGTTTAATTTGGCTCACATTCGAGTTCATTTCGGGAAACCTCCCTGGAAAGACTGCTCACGACAGATTACGACCGTAACTTGATTTCTTATCGTCGATTCAAAGTTCTTTAGACCCTAAATACATAGAGATCGAGTCGCTTCAACGTTGTTTCCTCGATGTAGCCGCGGATCGCAGGCGTACCTTGACTCAAAGTCCTCGACCCATTTTTTAGTACTTATCCCGAAGGTAAATGTTACTGACTAGCCCCCTACCGGTTATCGCGAATCGTCCACACATGAACGACGCTCGATCGAGGCACTCGAGCGATCTCTTCTTTTCTTCCTTTTTTCTTTTTCTCTCCCTCTCTCTCCTCTCTCTCTCTCTCCCCCCCTCTCTCTCTCTCTCTCTCTCTCTCTCTCTCTCTCTCTCTCGGGGAATGTCTATAGGGACTAGGAATTTGCCTTTATTGGCCCCTTCCGGAGTTTCGCGGACGACTGTTCGACCTCCTTTCTCGCGGAACAATTGTCGATCACCGAGCTGAGACGAAGTCGCTGACTAGCCTCCGGTTCCTTCCTTCCTTCCTTCTTTCCTTCCTCTACCTACTACCGGTTCCGCTTGTTTCAACACCTACTCAGGGGAAGGCGGCCGCGCCATTCTCTCGGGGGAATGTCTACAGGGACCAAGGTAATGCTTTATTCGAGCCTGCTGCGCCAGGACTTGCACGGGGAGATCGTTAAGTGTCCATGTGTCGATACTTGTGCGCCGACATCTGCGCCAGGCCCAGCACCGCGTATTGACACTGCAAGCAATGGTAGTGCGTCTGCTTGCCAGAGTGTTGGCACTGGACACCACCGCACGGTTGACTGGGCGTGAACTTCTGGAAACCCGCCGCGGCGATGCTGTCCAGCTTGGCGTGTTGTCGCCGATGTGCGACCACCTTGTTCGTGTCCGTGCAGACGAAGTCGCACTTTAGACAATGAAAGTGCGACGCCTTGTTCTGCATCGAGCCAAGCGACGACGTGTACGCGCACTGAGCCCGTCCGCAGGGTACGTTGGCCCGATACTGCTGAAAGTCACCACCCATCAGCGTGTCCAGCCGCTCGTGCCTCGCGGTGTGCTGAACGAAGCGGGTCTTGTCGCAGAAGGAGTAGCCGCAGTCTTGGCGCATGCAGTGGAAGTGTGTCTGGTGCTCTCTGTAGCCGCAATGAGGGTACCTGCAGTCTTCGTTGAACCTGAACCTGTAAAATCCACCGTGACCGTCCAAATGAAACGAAATCAATTCGCCCGTTCTCTCGTTCTTCGTTGTCGCAATGGCCTGATACCAACCTGACATATCCCTCCGGCACAGGCTCGTCCTTCAGCATCCGCATGGAGTGATGGAGTCTTTGTTTCTTCGCTTCCGGCGAATTAGCGTCCGGCGGTGAGAGAGATCTCTTGTTCAGATTGAGATTAGCCGCCAGTGACGCCAGGGGATTCTCGTCCCTCGCGGGCGGAAGAAAGTTTGTAGGCGGCAAGCCGGGCGCGAACATCAAGCCGGGTCCGCCGGCGTACATGCCGCCGTGCTGAAGAAACGGCGGTAGAGCCTGATTCATCAGGGCTATCTGCTGGTTCATAGCGGCTGCCATCACGGCAGGGCTGGGAAAGTGGAAGCCGTGGCTGAGATCGAGCTCGAAGCTGCTCGGCACCGACGGTTGCTGCACATTGGGCGGTATCGGCGGCTGCTGCGGCAGTTGGCCGTTCTCGTGGCTGTCCACCACGGAATTGTTGCCGTCGTCCCGAACGGTCTCAGGCGGCTCTCGCTTGACATTCGGCACGTTCTGCACGCCGATGTCGGTGCCGCATCTCGGTTTCTCCAACTTGATGTCCTTCGACTGGGACAACGACTGTTGGCCGATCTGGCCGAGAGTCTGCTGCATCTGCCGTTGCATCTGGCTCTGGAAGTTCTGTATATTCTGCGCCATCTGAGCGTTCTGCGACATAAAGTCGTGTTTCTGCGACAGCTGGGCGATGTAATCGTGCTGCAGCTGATTCGGCGACGGACTGACCACGTCGTGCTGCTGTTGGCTGAGGATGGCGCCGGTCGAGTGTTTCGCTATATGCGCGACCAGACGGTCCAGCTCGGAGAAGGCCTGATTGCACGCGTTGCAGTGGTAGTGATTCTTGCGCTTCAGCTTGCAGAACGGCCTGCTGCAGCTCTGCTCTGGCCCGTAGAGGGTGTGCGGTGAGGCAGAGCTCATCGAAGGCATGACCGATGATGGTTCTGCAACGTTATAGATTCATCTGTATCCCGGCAATCCGTGCGTGTCCTCGCGTGAAACGCGACAAATGCGAAAGAAACGAAGGAGACCTAGTCCTGGACGTGTACTAACACGGAAACACTCTCAAAAGCACAAAACTTGGTTCAAAAGACACGAACCTTGGTGCACGGAAGCTCGCATGGATAGCACGACGCCCGGAAGTGCGGGTTCGCTCGGCGGTCCGCTGACCGGATAATAGGTGCCAGCCGCCCTCACCACTAGCAACAATCAACCAAACAACCAACACTTCAAATATACCTCCCACTATGAGAATATACAACCACCGTGTGTACAATATATACATCGGGAAAATGGAACGTTTAAACGGACAGTCAGTCTCGCGGGAGACGAACAATGCACGACTGATGTCGTGCGAGGGATAGCGAGGAGTGTTCTACTTGAAACAACGAATGCGAGGTGGTGACAAGAGGGTGTGAACGGGGCTGCGACTACGTGCAGAGGGGGCATGCATAATGTATGTATATTCGAGTGATGGAGAGAATCTCTGTCGTGTTTCTCGAACAAAAAAAAAAAAAAAAGAGGAAGAAGAGTAAATCACTACCAAACAAAACTCGTCTATGGGCTAACACTATGGTGGTGCACAGAGAGAGAGAGAGAGAGAGAGAGAGAGAGAGAGAGAGAGAGAGAGAGAGAGAGAGAGAGAGAGAGAGAGAGAGAGAGAGAGAGAGAGAGAGAGAGAGAGAGAGAGAGAGAGAGAGAGAGAGAGAGAGAGAGAGAGAGAGAGAGAGAGAGAGAGAGAGAGAACTCGTGTCCTCGTTTCCGGTACTTACCGGTGGTCTTACCGCTGTCGGGACTCGCGAGCTCAGACTCCTTGTCGTCGATCATCGTCCTGTTGTCTTGATCACTCGCCGATAGGATCTCGTCGGGCTTCTCGATCAGCTCGGCGGTGTTCTTCACCTGAATTCTGGGCTTCGCCTCTTGGACCAGCGATTGCGGTTGCGTCTGACACTCCTGATTAGTCGACTCCTGGGTGCAGGACTCGCTATGACCGGAGTGTTGCTTCTCGTGCAACGCCATCGTCGAGTACCTGACGAAAGAGTAGCCGCAATTCGGTCTAGTGCAGTGAAAGTGCCGATTCACGCGATTGCTGTGGCAGCCGGCCAGCCGGCAGTCGACCATCTTGTCGTAGAAGGCGAAACCCGGCGGTATGTCGACGTTGTCGTGGAAGTCCTTGCTGTGCATCAGCAACTGGTCCGGCCGGTCGGTGGAGAAATGGCAGCGTAGTTGCGAGCAGTGGTGGTGTTTGGTTAATCTGAGAACGCACGCCGTTTCTGGGCACCCCTCAGCATTGTACGTGGCGAATCCCTCAGGTTCGCCCAGACTGTTCGAAGGCGACACGCTGCCCTCGCGTTCTTCCAGCAGCGAATTTACCGGCGTCAGACTGGGCGTTTGCGGTTTCGGCAGTTTGAAGCTCGTGAAGATCGCCTGTGGCGAGTCGTGGGTGTGCGTGGCGGGGTCGCCACCCGACCAGATCTCGATCACCCGATTTTTCGGCGGTCTGCCGCGTTTCCGCCTGAACATCGCGTCGATGTTCGTCAGGTGGGTCAGCGTGACGTCGGACGAGAGAGTGTGCGAGGAACAAGAGAGGTTCAACTGTCGACTGTACTCGTGGATCTTGTAATGCTGCAGCCTGCGGAACGGCTTGTCCGTAGAGAGTATCACCTCCCGACAGTTCTCCCAATTGCAGTGATAATGCTTCTCCTTGTCTGCGTACGGACAGCTGTCATCGCAGCCGCCCTCCTCGAAGAAAGCGTCCGTTATGCGCTCCTGCGTCTCGTGCTCCTTCAGATGCTCTCGGACTTCACGGGGATCCTTCAAGGTAGCGCCGCAGCGGTCCAGCCCACAATGATGGTGCTCCCGGCCGGCGTTGCACGCACATTCCGAACTGGCTGGCACTAGGTAGGCCAATTCGGCGGCGGTGAGTTGTTGGGCTTGCTGATGCTGCTGTTGGTGCTGCTGTTGATCGAGACTAACGGAACTTCCGCTGGCTGTAATGGCGGTGGTCGGGGCGGTGAGGTCCATGGCGAGGTCACTGCCACTCTGGAAGGAGTCTTCCAAGGAGTAATACGATGGAGAGCCTCTCCCTTCGTTGGAGCTCTCACCGTTCAGGCTTAAGGACAAACTCTGAGCGCTCAATTCGTCCGGCGCCCATGACCCCGATGGACGCATGCCACCCACCGTACCACTGACCTGTTTGTACTTCCGGTAAGCCAGCTCGGACTCGTGGCGCTCGTGTTTCCGCTTGTGCGAGAAGAGCTGGCCGGAAGAGTGGAGAACGTAGCTGCAATGGGGTCGTATGCAGTGGATGTGGTTGCAGACCCGCGAGAATCGGCACTGATCGAACGGGCAGGCCTCTGATTTCATGAACTTCTTGAAACCGTCGCGCGACAGTTGCTCGTCCTTGATGTGGTAAGACTTGTGCTTGTCTGGAAAAAAGAAGATGAAGGGAACTGGTCGATCAAAAATCGTAGATCCGTCTGAAATGAAGAGAACACACAGCGTACGTTAGGCACGAATTAATCAACGAAATGACTTGTCAGAGTGTAAAGGTGAAGACAGAAACCTTGAGGCTTGTCGAGTGTGGCTCGGTGTGGGTAAGCGCGCGCGCGCGAGAGAGAGAGAGAGAGAGAGAGAGAGAGAGAGAGAGAGAGAGAGAGAGAGACGGAGATTGAGAGGTTCCGATGGACGATAGTTTCGACCTAGAGCGCCGACATTAATCACGCATTCCTTACCCATGTCGGCCTTATTCTTGAACGTGAACCGACAACCCGGTCGCCGACAGTGAAAGTGCGTGGTCCGTTGACCAGCGAATGGGCAATGCTCGGTCGCGCAACTCTCGGTAGCTCGAAACCGTTGGAAGCCCTCCTGTATGATGGCCGAGTCCTTGCGATGGTAATTCGCGTGCATCTGCACGTCCGATGTCGATATGTACACCTTGTCGCAATTCTCATGGATGCAATGATAGTGGGTTTGCTTTCTATTGTGCGGGCAGGCCCGGCCGGGGTGCCTCTCTGAGCAATCGTCCGTCGGCGAGTATCTCATGAAGCCGTGCTGCAACGACTCGTCCCTCTTCTTGTGCCACTTGAAGTGCCTGATCATCTCCTCCTTCTTCACGAACACCCGGCCGCTACAGTCCAGACAATGAAAGTGCTCCCTGCAACCTAGTTCCTTGCAGTACGTACTGCCGCATTCCTGACTCGAGGTGTATCTCCTCACGTATCGGGAATAATCGATGATCGGCTGGGACACCGACGTCTTCGAGCCACCGATTAGAGAATCTGCCACGGGAGACATGCTGTGTCTGAGCAAAGCTGCAACAAGCGAAACGGGGGATCCTTTCTTACTAAATCGGCATCGCTTCGAGTCGCTCGAGACTCGATCAAGCGATCGTGCGTCTGTCGGCCACAAAAAGAAAGAAAAAAGTGTGACAAAATTCAAAATAAAATAAATCGAAAGGAGACAAGAGACTTCGTTGTTCGATTGGCACCGAGAGGTAGACATTGCGCGTAGGTTGCGTAATTTTAATTCGGCCTACGGACGCGAAGATCTCAGAATGATCGAAGAGATAGATCCTGCCTTCTAACCGAGCTCTCCGCTCAAAGAGTCGCGTTCAATGCTCCGCGGGTCACAAGCCGCGTGTCTCGGAGAGACCGGCGAGAGGTAAGGCCCGTGGAAGCGTAGAAACGCACAGCCGGTCGGTAGGCAACTGCGTTTCTCCGCAGGCAACTGCAGCATGTTTTACCGACCGCACGTCCCCGGTAACACCGTCCGCAGCAGCGGACGCTCGCACCATCAGAGGGGACGCATAGACCAGAAACGACTTCTGATACATGTACCGAGAGTCACGCGAGCGCTCGCGCCGTTCGTCGACCTATTCGACGAGTTCGCGCGCGCCGCTCGCGTCCGAGAACTGGTCGCTCGGGTTGCGCTCTCCCGCGACACAAGGAGAAAACGGCTGGATGAAAAAAGGCACGCGGGAGAGGAGAAGAAAGAATGGCCGGGCGGCGGCTGAAAAAAACTATCGGGCCCCGCGATCGCAATACGCGCGCGCGTATGCAAAAAAGCGCGCCTGTGGGCCGCGGGCGAGAGGCGGAGGCGCGTGAGCATTTACCTCGGCGGAGCGTTTTCATAGCTCTCCTAAAAGGCTCGAAACGGGCCGCGGCACGCAAGAAAATATTGAGCGCGCGAGGGACGCAATTCGGTTGACCAATCCTCGCCCGCGATAATTATCTCCCGAAGGTAATGCGCGCACACGAGAGATGCAAATAAACCCGCCGCCACGCCGTTCTCCTTTTTTTGCCTGAACGAACGATTCTGCAGTTCAAAGCGCTCTCCTCCCGAGCTCTCCTCTCGCGCTTGCGTTTCTTCCCGGCAGGTAGACTTGAAATGTGTATTACTTCAGGGAGTCGGCCGGTTAGGTGGAACACTCTTGTTGCGTGTTCCGGCGAGTCGCGTCGCCGCGCGCGCGCGCGCGCGTCAGGTCAATACTTGCTGTCGAAGAAATTCGAGAAGCGCGCGAAATGAACGAGAGAGAGAGAGAATCCTGCCAGGCGGGGACGATCCGCCTGGACCGCGCGCGGTCCGTCATCGTCCGACCGCGCGTCGAGCCTCCGTCATCAAGACCACCACCCTTCAATGCCTTTGCATTGAATGTCCGCATTGAATGATCCGTCACCGTCACGGTCACTCAATCATTCCCATTCAGAGGAAATTCGACGGAGCACTCGCGGGGATTCCCCTCCCTACCTGCCGCTGCCGCTCTCTACCCGAGAATCCAGAGTCTAATTGCGCGGTAATTAAATTACATCGGCGAAAACGAGAAAGAACGAAAGCAATCGTGACCACCGCCCGTCACGTTAACTTATCGGACGGCACACGGAGTCGCATCGATCGGAGACCGCAGCGACTCGATACGATGCTACCCCGGTAGCATCCATCAAGCCACCCAGCGTTCGACGCACCCTACCACGGCCGAGGACGATTCTGAGAAATTCTTACTCGCGGGCCGCGCGTACGTTTGCGAATGCGCGTTCAAGAACGAGTTTAAAAATTGTCGAATATTTCTCGTGGCTCGCGGGGCTTCCCCGCGCGCGCGCGCGCGCGCGCGCTCGCTCTCTCTCTCTCTCTCTCTCTCTCTCTCTCTCTCATGGTGGTATATGTGCCGTCAGAACGGAGGGAGCGCGCGCGTACATTGGCTGCCCGTGCGTTTCTGCGATGTGAGAGCGTATATGCGCGCCACGGCACAAAAAGAGAAAGGGTTTGGTCCAGAGAGAAAGAGGAAGGCCCGAGAGAGACGGAGAAAGAGAGAGAGAGCGTGAGGAGCGGCGGGGAGGGGGGGAGGGAGGGAGGGAGGGAGAGGGGCAAAAGGGAGAGGGAGAAAGCGGAGGAAAAGAGAGACGAAGGTTACGCGAGAGGGAAAAAGGAGGCGAGGGAGAATTCGGCGCGCATTATTCTCCCGCGTTATAACCGGCGAAGCGTAGACGGTACCTAAGGATGAAGGAGAAAGAAAAAGAAAACAGAGAGAAAGAAAGAGAAAAAGAAACAAAAAGCGAGAGAGAGAGAGAGAGAGAGAAGAGTAGTGCATAGGCGCGCGCGCGCCTCGCATTATTATTTCCGCGCGAATCGGGACGGTCGCTCACCGGGCGAAATCGAGCAACGACGGCGGATTTAATAATAAGCACGTCGCGGTGTCACCGGATATGTTGCACCCAGTTACGCGCCGTTGCGTAACATTCGGTTACGGCGATTAATTTATCCTTTGACAGAGTAATTACGCAACGCAGCTGCGTGCCTCCTCTCGCGACGCGACGCGACGCGACGCGACGCGTAAACTCGCGCGCGCACCACTCATTAGAGGCACCTTTGGCTTTCGCGCCGCGGGAAATTGTTGTTTGCACAAATTTATAATCCGCTACCGCCGTTCCGCGCACGTAATCGAGAAGAGCTGCTCTCGCGCGCGGGCCAAGGTCTACACGTACGCAGGTCGCGTACTCGCGTACTCTCGTCGTCGTCGTCGTCGTCGTATTAATCGAGAATAAATATTAACTAAACCTGCATCCTCAAGCTGCCGCGGAGGAGAAGATGGCGCAAGCTCACGAGCGGCTCTTCGGCCAACTCCTCCGCGCCGCGCCGTATCCAGGAACGTCGAACCTTTCGTCAACGCCTAATTATGCGAATGGGGAAGCGTGCCAAAATCGCGATGGCACGTAAGTGAAACACACGCACGTGGCCTTGAGGCGTCATGAAAAAAAACAAACTGATCGATCCGCAGTCGCGGATGCAGGATGAGCGACGTTCTCCGTCGACACTAAGCTATTGTCTCATCGAGCAGGACTCAGAGAGCGTCCGGCGTCAATCGCGCGGTGCTTCGTTTCATTCGTCGATCTCGACACCGCAATCGTGGGAGATTTCCCACTCGAGAATCCCGGCTTTTCCGAGGAAATTGGCCTTTTCCGACGAGAATCCACTTTGCATTTTCATTATCGCCAATTATCGCCCGTACAAAAAGTACAAAAGACGACTCTCCCCCTCCCCTTCCCCCCTCCTCTCCACGTGATGGAGGAAGGAGATACCACCCACGTGGCTGCGTGCAGTTCGACCAGCGGCATCGGATGAAGAATACACGCGACGTGACGGGGCTTAAAGAGCAAATCTTAAAAAATATGTGAAACCCCCAGGACGACACGTAGCGCGACACTCCCTCCCCCTTCGTATTCCAGGCGGCTTTGAGCCCGAACCCTTTTATTCGTAGTTCTTAAAGCTGCTCGGCAAGGGGAGTGGGAGCCCTGGCCCCGAATCGCCGCGAGGTGGAAGCGGGGCGACAGCCTCTGCGAGACAGGGGAAGGGAGTTTGAAATTTTCAAAAAGGCCCGAACCTGAAAAGACCCCGTATTTCAGGGTCGCCGGGGCTCTCTCCTTTTTTATCATTTAATCCGTGAGCCAGGCGAATAACCCTTTATACGAGCTATCGGGGTACCGCGCCGAAAACGGCTGCTGCCTCCGCGTCGTGCGTTTACGTGTGTACTGATCTCGTTTTCTCTCTTTTCCTCCCTCTCTCTCTCTCTCTCTCTCTCTCTCTCTCTCTCCCTCCTGCTGTACGCGTGTGCGTGTATGCGTGTACTTACACGTGCGCTCACACGCACGTGCAACACGCTCACGGAGGGGTTAATATGACCTACGAAACTGCGTGTTTGGATAATGCGTGGAGTACCCGCTGCGCGCGCCGATTCGTCGTCTTGGCCGCGGCGACCCTCATTGAACGCTTTTTCTTCTCGAGAGGTTCTAAATACCGGTGAAAAAAAAAAAGAAGAGAAATACGGTGGACGGGTACGGAGTGCCGGGCGTGCTCTCTCCCGTGCGTCGTCTGCCCCTCTAGCGCAACCCTTCTTCGATGGTCCTCGTCGCGACATTGTTTCCGGAAAAATGGCTTCGCGAATGGAACCGCCGACCAGATGCGATTTAATGACCCAGAATCAACGTTAGGGCCACTCGATAGCGATTGGGTAGCCGGGGCGGGCATTGCTGACGCGTGTAGACCGACGCACAAAGGCCAATTTCGTTTCGTTCTCGGCGCGCGCGCGCCGACGCGATCGCGATAACACGTCGGCTGCTTTCTCGGCGTAATAATCAAACAAAATAAATAATGGGAGAAGTCCCTCGACACACGGCCGAAAAATTGCTAACAAGAGCTGCCAAACGCAAGAGGCAAAACGCGCGATGAATATTGGCCTGGTAAAATATAATGAAATATATACGGAGGATCCAGCGAAGAGAAGATGTCTCGCGAGCGCGCGCGCGCGCGCCGCGCAAGAGGCCGACTTCTCCGGCAAAATTCGAGCGACTGCAGAAATGCAAAATCGTGCGGAACGTTGTTGGAAAACGTGGCGCGTATAATTCAATAATAGGTCGCCGTCCGTATACGCGCGCATCGATACCGATCATTTGTATTAATAAAAGTCAAGCGGCGGCCATCGGGAATGATGGATCTCTAGCGCCGAGTTCGAAAGCGAGCCAGGAGTATGTCGGCGCCGGCATCGGCGAAGAGTCACACAAAGGGAAAGAGCGGTTTGTGCAGTGAGGGGAGCGGAGAGTCGAGACAGAGAGAGAGAGAGAGAGAGAGAGAGAGAGAGAGAGAGAGAGATTGCCGAAAGAGAGAAAAGGAGAAAGTGAGTGGAAAGAGGAAGAGCGACCGACACTAAACTATTCTAAGATCCGCGAGAGAGTGTCGCGCGGACTTATTGTCTCTCTTTCTCTCTCTCTCTCTCTCTCTCTCTCTCTCTCTCTCTCTCTCTCTCTCTTGCCGCGAACGCGGT